CTGCAGCTCCCGCTGCCCCTGCACTGGCAGCTCCAGAAGCTCCCGCACTGGCAGCACCTTGCGACTTCAGTAAAGATAAACCATCACATGTGGATAGGGATACACGGAAGAGTTAGAGCCACAAGAGGACATTTGAAGCCAGAACAAGAGGAGTTAGAGCCAGAACAAGGGAGGGCGAGCACAGCAGAAAACTAATAACTGGCTGAATGGCTCCTTGGGGTCTTCTTACCGCAGAAGTAGCCATTTCTGCTAAGCCAGGCGGTGGACCCGACGCTCCACCTCCCATGCCACCACCACCACCTCCTCCTCCTCCACTGCCACCTCCAGGAACAACTGATTGCATTGATGTCCAGTTCTGAGTCTGGGTTAGCAGATTTGACACTCCTGGATCAGCAGCATCGATCAGCTCCTCAGCAAGATCTTCAGCTCCAACATCACCATCATTGTCGCTACTGCCCCTCCCAATCTTCTTGAGGCCCCAGTCAAGGATCTTTGCAAAGAATCCTAAGAGCTTTTGGAAAAATCGTTTTGAATGTATCCAATAAAGAATCCGAGGAACCCATCGCGGATGGCCCTCTCTCTTTCGTCGGCTGAATCAAGGGAGGAATCGTCCTCCAGGACGGAGGAATCACTTGCGCCGCTCTGGCCAGTGTCTCCAATGATCCCGTCCTCCACGTCGCCACTATTCTCCTCGTTGATTTTCTCACTCGGATCCGCAACGTCGTGGTCCACAAAGTCTATCTCGTGGGCTCCATCCTGGGCAGAGCCATCTTCACGCATCTGTGGAATGCTGGTACCGCTATCATACTCCTCGATTTCCAGCAAGCCACCAGCGTCGATGGGAGCATCAAAGGCAAAAGGTTTGTTGGTGTTATTCGTCATGGTTTCGTACTACTCTAGCAAAGACCTCTCGTGTAATTTTTTTTAAAGTGTGGAACTTCTGCTTGGCTGCAAAAGTTTGCTTCGTCGTTGTCACGCCGAAAGTCACTGTGTCTAGCTAGATCTTCGATTGTAGCACGACGAAGAAAGACGCAAGGAGGACATGCACTCAATGTATGATTGCTGCGGCAACCAACAGCCAACTGCCCCAACTATTCCAGTGTTGCATGGTGACGTACATCGGCAGCATTAGCCTTTTGTTATCAAGGGCTTGCCGTGTTCGCAAGCAGGAGCCGAACATTGTCATGTCGATGGTTATGAACAGCGTCTTTAACCAGGATTGGACTTAATGACTCAATAGCTCTGGTACGACTGTATTTACAGCTCCACATGTTCGGACGATCTGGTACTACTCGTACTGCCAGTATTTTATTAAGTAAGCGCTTCCAGCAAAGAACTCCATTGGTAAGTTTTAGTTAAGCGGGTCATCTTCAACGTCCAAGACCTCCAGTGGGAGTATCGAAACCACGGGCTTCTTTGACCTTTTAAAATGCAGCTCTTTGTCACACGCCTCAGTTCAGTGGTCACGTACGCTGTACCTTTTCCACCCTCAAACCTTCAGCTTCCCAACATCATTGCCTCCACGGCAACCTCAACACCAAATTGGGACGGGCAGCTTGGAGGTGGACGATGGAACACATGAGTCCACCACGTCACTCTTTTCCAGGGAGCTGCCAGGCTCTCTCACATCTTACATCTCCAACAGCTGACGGAAAATAGAAGATCAGGATGATGGATAAAAGGAGTGCCGGTACCATACTGTAGTAAGCCAATAAGCCCTCTGAAGTTGACCTTCTACCCACAAGAAAGTACGTACATCGTACGCACTGGTGCGTGGTGCATGATCAGAAAGAAGCCTGCAAGTTGGTTAGGACCGCGAAGAGCTTCACAGTACGGTAGTACCCTCTTTTTCTAAAAAATAAAAACGCAGCACGGGCAGTCCTTTTGGAGCTTTTTATTTTTAGAATTTGTTTGATTGTTTCAATTATAAAAGCAATTTTTCCCCCTTTTTCAGAGTTGCCCCCTTTTCTTAAGTTTCTTCCTTTCTTTTGCATCAGCACAATGCGTCATGGTCAAGATGCCCGTTGCTGTGGCCAAGTACGCTCCAGTTGTGGCCGAAGAGGAGGAAGATGCCATTGAATTGCCGCCTCTAAATGGCACTACTACTGCATGTAGTGGTGACGACGAAGACGACTATCATGACAAGTGTGACGGAGGACTGTTTTCGGACAACAACATTCATAAATCTTTGTTGCTGTATCGACGTGGCAATGTGGCCGTGCCGCTCAACTACTTTTTGGTTGGGATGGTGCAAGGCTTTGCGTATCCGTTGATGAACGTCTATCCACTGGCGTTGGGAGCTTCCGAGGCTCAACAGACGACACTGCTGACGCTCAAGGGGCTTCCCAGTTGCTTCAAGATTCTCTTTGGCATGCTCAGTGATCACGTGCCGCTCTACGGATTGCGACGCAAACCCTATCTCTACATTGGATGGTCCTTCTCCTCTCTCAGTCTCATCCCGCTCTTGCTCTGTTCCGATTTGACCTTGTTGTCCAACACGAATGATGATCAAGACTTGGTAGACACAACCACCAATACTACGACGACGACGACAACGTCTTCTGCTTCCCACTGGACGGTCCCCGCCAATGCTCCTTCCATGGCACTGCTGTGTGCCTGTTTCTTCTCGTGGGCCTGCGGTGTCTGGATGGCCGACGTCATGGGCGATGCCTTGGTGGCCGAACGGGCCAAACACGAAGCGGTCGTCCATCGTGGCAACACCCAAGCTTTGTGCTATATTCTACGTGGATTGGGATTCGTCTTGGTGGCGCCTCTCAGCAGTGTCCTCTACAGTTCGTATTCCAACGGTGCCTGGATCATTGTGGCCGCTACAACCGTGGTGCCACTCTTTCATGTTCCCGCCATTATAATGTTGCAAGAAATTCCTCCCACAGTCCTCTTGCCCGCCCACGAACAATTGCAAGCATTGTGGAATACCGCCTGTTCTCCGGCGGTTTGGCAACCCATGGGATTTATTTTCCTCTATTTGTCTTGCTTTGTCACCAACAGTGCGTGGAAACAGTTTTTGGAGACCTGTCTGCACTTTACACCCAATCAACTCAACGCTTTGATGATCCTAGTGGGGATCATGGCATTTGGAGGCATCGTTCTCTACAAAGTGGTCTTCTACAAGACCAGTTGGAGGACTCTGTACATTATCAGTATTGCTGCCAATGGAGTCTTCTCGGCGTTGCAACTGCTATTGATTTACGACAAGACGTTTGGACTACCGCCCTTTGTCTTTGCCTTGGGCGATGAAGCGGCCAAGGATTTCATACTGGGCGTGCAGTATCTCCCCATGGTCACCATGATGGTTCATTTGGTACCTGCCGGTATTGAAGGAGCCAGTTATGCGCTCTTTACCACCACGTGGAATGTCGCATCCTCCTTGGCGGATTCCATCTCCACCATGTTGCTCGGGATTTGGGACGTGTCCAAGGAGACGCTGGCACAAGGCGATTGGTCGGGGTTGGTGCGTCTCGGCATTTTGACCACCGTCTTGCAAACGCTGCCACTCGTGGCGGTTGGACTCTTGCCCCATTCGGTAGATGATTTGCAACAAGAACAACAACGACGAACAACCGACCCAAACTACTACCACAGGGGTGCTGGCATGACCTATCTACTCGTGGTGGCGCTGGCATTGGCATGGACGATTTTTGTGGATGTCATGAATATTGTCTCGCCGGGATGGATGGGGGAGAGTTAGAACGAACGAAACGTAAACATACATGATGGAAATCGGTTGTTGGGAACGCGGGCATGCTACATTGTACTTTGTGGAGGGACAGAATTGGCCGAAACTGGTTTGTATGATGGCTGCCACCAAGCCAATGGAAGCCAAGTTGATGCTACCGTAGTGTGAGAACGGACAGTCACATCACACAAACAATTTTGGATGGTTTCTTCTCATACCTTTTCAACAAAAATTTGTTCGCAATGCCTACCAAACCATCACACTAGCAACAACAATAAGCAGCCCAGCTCACTCTAGTGCCAAGGGAGTCGAGTCGAGGATAGCTTGAAATTGGCCATGTCAGCCTTCACCTTGGGATTCACTACCGTATGACCTGCATCAAAAACAAACATTCTCTTCCCCCGCATGGTCACGCGTGGCACCTGCGACATCACCATCTGTGCCCAACCGAATACCGTCGCCTCCGGATGCGTTCCCCAGAGCCATAATACGGTAACTGGGTGCCTTCAACGAAATCCGTTTGGCTCCTTCGAAACCAAACTCCGCTCGTGCCAAGTTCTCATTGTCAAGCACAATACACAAGAGTCGATCACCGGGGCGCTTGTGCTATTGAAAGGTGGCAAGTTCCTGCAGTGTCATCTGCAAGTAATGCACAACAAAAACGAAGGGGCAGCCATTCGTACAATTCATGCTTTCTTCGTATGGACGCAAAGCACAACGCCACTCGCAGGAGCTAGAATGGCCGCAACAGCTGCGTTCAAACCGCAACCCATGGTTCCCAAGCACTCGGAGTACAGAGTTCGTGTTCCTGCCTTCAAAGTCAAGCACTATGATGCCCACCGAGTGATATCACCAACGTCTACGCAGCCAGATTGTCGAGCCTCGAAAGACGCTGTCGGTGGTTCGTCAGATCCCACAAGGCGTACATAACAGTAGATGGGTGGCAAAAGTTGGTACTGTTGGCAACGAGTCGTACAAACAAAGCTTGTCGGACGACGCATAGCTTTTCCAGCCTGTATCATGCATTGTCTCTCAGAGACTGTCGGCTTCCTTGAGCAGTTTCCCGACAGTGTGGTTTTCTTGAAGGGTAACGTGCAACTTTTCGACAGGATTGTTGCACCGCATATACTCCTACATGTAGTTACCAGGCATGAATTGTTGGATCTGCATTGATGTTGCACCATGGCAATACGAACGAGGTTGGTGAGCTCACGGCAACCGCCACAATATTGCCGAGGATCTGATGCTCAGCTTGATATGGCGACTTGAGCGCTCCTGCTTTCGGTTGAGTCTCAATCAGAGAATACGAACCCAGACTTACAGCTTTGTTGTCAAGAGAAGCATCTCGTCCTGGACCACAATGCTGATCACTCAACGACTCTTTGAAATCAAAGAGGCAGCCGCGAGTCCTGGTTTGCCATGAGCGCCAACAACGCTAGGGGGCGGGTTTCATCCACCAGACCTTTGCAATGGAGACGAGTCAAGACTGGTGCTGCTCAGCGTCTCTGCCGAATCGAGGACAACATCCGACAACTCCTGCTCGCTGTACTTGTCGGCTCCGTTTGCCGTGGCGCCGGGGAGGGCACGAAGTTCAACAGACAATCACATTGCGCCTCCCTTCCCGTGGATCCAATCAGTGTTCGTGCTGTGGCTTTGATAGAAAAGATGTGCTGGAGAGCAGATTTTGGAGTTGAAAACACATTTCTCTTTGATAGGTAGGGGCGAGGGCATCGCTCGGATGTCCTCGGGTAATGCCAAATGAGTTCATGTCAGAGCAGCTGCAATGGCGTCTCGAAGCAAGGGAGAAAATCGACTTGGCTCGCAGAATGTGCATCCTTGCTCCACAAAATGCCGGCACCAACGAACAGCTGGCTCTGATTCACATCCTGGAAGGCAGCCGATATTCGAATATCGGCTGCCTTCCAGGAACTCAAAACGACCCATGCCGGCTGTCGGCTTGAGGCATGTGAGGGCAAGCAAAGGAACTTCGTCCAGCACAGGGGACCACAGCGCCGCCACCATGGCCTCCAAACACAATCCTTCAGCCAGTATCAGCTCTGTGAAAACAATCAATTTTGGAGAGAGTGTTGTAAAGCAAAATGTGAGGAGTCTATCGAATTCACAAAAGCGAATCATCAGGATTGTGCGATTGATTATTGGAGCCAAATCCAAAGCTGTCAAGGAGAGCAAAAGGAACGGACGATCCGCCAGTTGTCGGCGACGAACTACGTGTTTCGTTTTATTTTCAATGATCCCAATGGCGTTGTTTCTGGGTTGCCACCAGCCGCATGGTTCAAGCTGGTGTCATTCGGTGACCACAATCCCCTTGTCTCCTTGAATGGCAACGTGACTGGGCCCGCCGTGAGCACTATGACATCTGATGAACTCGCTCAAACCACAGGCTGGTGCCTGTGGTATTGGAATCCCACCGAATTCCCACCCTGACAGGTCCATTTGGATGCGTTGAAGCCACATGGTGTCGAGGCGCCCAAGCAACCAAGGGAGCCCAGATATTGGCAAGCGTGTGCTCGATGGGCCCTGTTGGAAAAGTTAAAGCTTTGGAATGACAAAGATTGTATTCATTATGACGAACCGAAGAGGTCGTCTGTGAGAAATAATGAAAGCCATGACGAGCGAACAAGCAAGCAACCAACCGGTGTCCGTATTTTTAACTTGAGTTGACCGAAGAGCAGATGAAACATGCACCAACAGTGCTGCAAATGGCAAACAAATTTGCCAACGATCTGCTTGAGTTTCTTGAAACGAGGGCATCCAACAAGAGGGCCTTGGAAATCGTCTCCATGAAGATTGCACCTGGCTATGAATTGCACTGTCATGCAATTCCAAATCTTGAGCTGGAAGCTATCTGCATACACGGGGCTCTCATTGAGATCCGAGTAGTTAGGGAGCCTAGCCTCCCCGAGCATGGCAACCATGAAAACATAGATCCGCCTTCCTTACGGGGCCCCAGCATGTCGTCCGTCAACGAGCATGATTGGTCGGTACCAGTACAAACACGTGGCGCTGGTCAATCAACTACGGATACAAGGGTGCCTCTTGCTCTTTGGTGGGACAGAGGCCAATGTTGACAATATCGATAGTTAAGTTGAACGAGGCAATTCATTGTGCCAATAAGTGCCACAGGAGTTGAAGCATGCAGGCAAGTAACAATTTTTGGTCGCCTGGAACGTACCGGTACCGGTTCAGTCGAACCGGTACATCGGAAGCTGCCTTCTTCTTTTTGGCATGAAAGGGTGCTAGCTAGCTAGATAGATGGTCAATTGCTTCTGCCAAGTTTAGTCTACTCTGAAATTGTGTATTATGGAGGTTCCTTAGCTCCTTGTTAGCTTCCAGCTTGGTGATAAGTACCTCTACTAGCTAGCTAGAGTATCCCTGTAGCCAAATAGAAGCAAGGCTAGCTAGCAGGAGGAAGCCTCAAAGCTGGAAAGCAGAGCTCCACCGGTACCGTACCGTAGCTACTACATGTAGCTAGATCTTGGCAGTCTGTTGTGGATGATGTAGACCTACTTCAGCACGCCTGGAAAAGCTGTGAGAATTCCACCTCAGCTTCAACTGTCCATTACAGTCTGTGACCTTCTGGCAGGTTGTCTGACGCACGAGAATGTTTTTTTACTGATACTTCGGATTTCGGATCGATGATGCTGTTTTGCGTGGTTTGCAAGGTTAGTAGGCTAGTACATCGTACTCGAGTACACAACTTTACAGAATCGAGGACTGTCGCCATGGTTTGAACCGGTACTCACAGAGTAGCCACTCTATCTCTCCTAGTACTCGAGTAGTAGCACGAGCGAGTACGTACTGTAGTCTCTGCATTGGTCGTCAGTCGTCAGGTTCTTCTCTCTGTGGGCGAGAAGCCGGTTCATTTTTACTTGTGCGTCAGAATGATATCATGAGGTTGCTTTTCTTTGAAGCCCCAGAACAGGCTCAACAAAAACGAGAATAATTATTTATTCTGTTCACAAAGATGTGTCGTACACTGTCGACAATAGCTCGACAATGCTGTCATCTGTGTGATACAACTTCCCCTCTGTTCTCTCGTCAAAACTAACTTGTCTCGAATAATTTGTTTGGATTAGCTTCCTCGATACTTCGGAGTATCTAACAGTAGCTACCGGTACCGTTCGGTGGTACCCGATAAGCACCCCGAGGGATCTATCTACTAGTAGACTAGTAAGCTTTAGCCCTGAGAAATGCTAGATGTATGCATAGGTATCACTTTCATACTTGATGCCCCGCAAGATCATGGTATATAAGTCTAGAATAATGATAACATTTATTTTTATTGGCTGGAGAGAATAGCCAGTCAGTTAGTTAGTTAGTTAGTCAGTGCTACTTCTCTGGTGCCACTTGCGATGGCCAGGACGCAATAACTGCAGGAACTGGAACAGTAGTGGCCTTTGGCAAGATGGCGACTGAAGGGTGCGTGTAAGTATTGAGCAACGTGTTGCAGAGTGCATGCTGAGACATGGAAGAGGAGGTAGATGCTGCCACAATGATTGGCATGGAAGACATGGTCAAGTGCATGGCATAGAGTGTTTCCCGGATGTTTTCATTCACCATCTTCATGGTGCCCCCCTGCCGTTGTATGGCTTCCTTGGTCTGGCGGTCCTTGGACATGAGTTTGGCCCGTTCCTCCTGGATTGCCTTGGGCATGGCCGTGAGTGCTTGCCTCATGGATGTAATGGCCTTGCGAGTTTCTTCATTCTCCTTGCAAAGAATGTGTCTTCGCGTAGCTACTTCATCGAGCATGTGCTTCACTTCCCTCAGAGCAATCAGCTTTTTCTTTCGACCCCCCCGATCCTTCTTGTTGGGCAACATCTTCTCCCCATACTGATTGAGCTTTTGCTCAAACTTCATCTCGTCTTTGACCAGCATGTTGTTAGTTTTAGTTGTTAGAGCTGTTGTTGTTTAGTTTAGTGCTTGGCTTATTATTGGCAGAGCAAGATTGAAGTTTGTCTTTTTAAATTTGTGAGGGCAAGCTGCGAGCTTCTGAAGAAAGACACAAAGAGCATTCTCTACAGAAATTCAATTTGTTAAAGAAGCTTCTCTCGATTCTCTTGTGACGTTTGCCTGCTGTCACTCTCCTTCGCGTCTTTTCTCAGCTTCACGACAGCTGTAGTTTCCCGATCTAGCCAAATGCTTACCCTCGGCTATTAGATACTCTGTACGTTACCGGCAATGGGATCAGTGTGCCCACTCGAATTTTAGTTTTGCTACTTTATCAAGCTTCCAGATTGAAACGAATCATTCCACCCTCTAGCTAGAGAGAAGTCTATCTTACTGAGCCACTTTATCCAACTACTTCAACGCTGTCTTGAAAACCATTCATATAGTACAGGCTACCGGTACCACGAAATCTTTCCTGCATATCCTGCCTGATTGTTTGGCGGCAGAGGTGCAGGAGCAGAATTTTTGCTTTTCCGAACATGTCCTTTTGAATGCAGCTTGGTGCCAACTTTTATCATACCGGTAGTACCAGTACCGGTATATCTTATGTTATCGGCACTCCATGCATGCTCATCAGTGGCTAAGCAGCAGGACTGACAACCTGGGCAAATACAAAAGTATCTTATAAATAGGGTACTATGCTTGTAACTTGGAGCTCGTAGATTTGTTGTTACGATTACTGAAGCCCCTGCTTCCTGCGATGACTGACGCACCTGCCACTAACATCGAGGCTTAATAAAAAGGGGGGAACGATGGAACTTGAAACTTGAATCATGAGCGGCTTTGCTGTTCAGAAAGGAAAAAAGGTTACAGTAGATCTACATGTATAATAGCAGAAAGACTCGACTCAGTTTGGTAATCCAGCTTCTTTGTCATCGGGTACATAAACATGTCATACTTATGTCGTATGAAGCACCAATAGGAACACCATAAACGGTCTTCTCCTTCATGCTTCTGTGCGAGCTTGTGCGTCAGGGTGTTCCTGTCTCTTTCATGGTGCTGCTGTAAGACTTGCTGCAACACTTGCTGCAGTGTTCACCCCAATTGGAGGAACAGACAGCAACAGCTGTTGATGCACGGCACTTGTTGTAGCCTTTTTCTCAAAACATCAAGACGAAACACTGACGCACTGACGCACAAACCAACTGAAAAGTTGACACCACCTAAGAAACAAGGACTGCATCAGTTTCACGCACCAAATTACAACAACATTGTCCTTCTTTTCAGGGAGTTGCCATTTTGCATTCATTCTTACGCACGACGTCGAGGCCCTAATGGCATCTTTGTGCTAGCTAGCTAGCTATCATAGTTGTCGACTGAATGATGGAACGGAATCAGAGCAGGCCTGTTCTGTGTTGCTGTCGCCTGTCGCCCGTGTAGGCTCCATTTCTTTGGTTGCGGATGTGTGGGTACTAGCAAGATCCTGCTTCTTCTTCATAATACGCACTTCTTCGTTTCGTTGAAATCCCGACACCTCTTTAGCAGAGCGTCGACTCCACACTTCTTGGTTTGTTGGGCCACTTCTTCCTTCTGCTATAGCTTCCATCGTCAGGAGTAGCCGCAATTTGTTACGCACTTCCTTGATATCCCTTTATTTAACTGTCCACTCCACCCTTTTTGGTTGGGTGTATGGTTGCGTCCAGCCCTGGATATCTCTGGGTTGAATGAGAAGACGACAGGGCCCTTCTTCCGCCTCCCACGGGGGGAAATCTCCTGGCGCCGTACTAGCTGGCTGTTGGGCTTGAGTTTAGACTATAGTCTAGTAGTCTACTTGTACCTAGCTAGAAGAAGAAGAAGAAGAAGCTTGGTACTGTATTATTTTCTGGCTGGAATAGGTTTGCTCATTTAAGTCAGCGGGAGCTGCGATACCTCGGCAGAAAGACAGATAGAAGAAGGAGGATCATGTTCGAGATTGCACCCATCTTCCAAGCCAGTGCACCAGCCCTGGCGACAACACCCGACTACGTCATGTGTTGCCGCCCGGTATCATTCATTCCCTCATTGCAACCTTCTTTATTAAGCTAGCCCTGGCGACAACACCCGACTACGTGGTGTGTTGCCGCCCGCTACTCTATAATTTACCAGCTGCCATTCCCTTATTGTAACTCTAACCTTTACAACTCCTGCTGGCTTATTGTGATGTTGTGCTGATTGCACTAACCTTAAATATTAATGATTTATTCCTACCCCTAACTTGTATTGAACCATCAATGTTCAGTTTTGTTGGCTTATGACTATCTCTATCCTTATACTTTGGCTTCACCGGAATAGGAAATAGGAAATAGCATTAAAGGGGTTGAGAACTCAGGCAGTTTACCTGCCGAGGTATTAGTCTGCTAGTCTACCATAGATACCTACGGGTATAGCGTGAGGCCTGGGTTCTCGTTTCCCTCCAGTTGCAAGAAGAAGCTTGGTATGTTCTGGCCGCAATAGGTTCACTCATTACTGGTGTGCTTGCCTAGCTAGCTAGCTTTCGATCTCTTCTAAAAAGGTATCGATACAGTGACTGAACTCTTGAAACGAAATCATGCCCAGCAAACGAAACCGGATACTCAACCGGACTACCCTGATGATTTTATTTGCGTGCTACAGCTTCTCCTTTAGCTTGGCTCGTTGTACATGGATCCAATGGAAACCATCGGTGAGCGCTCCTCCCGGTGCCGGGCCCATGATTTTCGTGGCTTTAAAGGCCCAATTGCGCTCGCGAGGTGCAGATGCGTCAAAGCGCAGTCCGGGCGGAGCCACCGGAACCTTGTTGACTGTAGCCGTAGCTCGCGACCTTGTGTACTGATAGCAGGGTGGGTTGGGTTAGATGCACGCTTCCGAGTAGGCCACTTCATCTGGCAGGTTCGGTAGCTCGGTCTCCTCAAGCCAGCTCAGGACCAACTTTGTGGAGGTTAGATCGCTGCCCAGGGCATCAAAGAAAACGAGCTTGTTGACGCTTCCATTCATATCCAGGAGGTCATACGGCAAAAAGTAGAACTGCTGGGAATACTTGTCAATGCTGTCGCCACGAGTGATGTTCCAAAACCGACCAAGGTCGTGGCCATTGAGCCACAAATGCCCTCGTCCTTGCGTAACGTTGACATAAAGTGCCTGCGTTTTGGGGTCGTACTCTGGCGTGTTGAACATGGCGGTGGACCATAGAGGACGAACAGAGGAGGATGAAGACGCCCCGACATTCTTGACATCCTTGCAGAAGCCCTTCTCACCTCCATTCAATGTAGGAGAACTGATCCATTCCTTGTTCACGCCAATGAGACTCTGATTTCCGTTTTGCGAGGATGATAGCGTCACGTCTCCTGTGATGCCCTTCACCTTTGCTCCAGTGCCACCTCCCCAACGACCAATTAGATTGTTGTATCCCAGCGACTCGGATAAGATTGCCAGGTCATGATGACCACTCTCCAAAGAACCAATGAAAAAATCAAAGGTAGCGTTGCCTTCGGCGTGATGTCGTTCGTACGCTTCGCCTTGAAAGACTCCATCTAGAAAGAGCACCATGGCACTCCCCTTTTGAGATTCCACTAGTATGGATACTTCGTCCAGAGATTCCTTCAAGTGGAAGCTCGTCTGATACCATGCATAGTCACTGGAAAAGTCCGCATCCATGTTCAATGCTGTTTGCTCCACAGGTCCGGTACTGACAATTCGTTTACTCGACAAGGCACCGATAGGTTCGGCGCAGGATGCCCAACCTAGGAGACGCACTGGCCCAGGTTCCGTTTTTCTCTTGTATGCCATGGCATTGGCAGAGATTTGAAAGGAATCGAAAATGACGGCTCCATCCATGATAATCATGGCAGACCATGGATCCATTTCAATAATCAGTGTCTCGTTCTTGCTGTTGATTGATGTTGTTGCTTTTGTCATCATGGTGTCCCCAGACAACAATGTCAGCCTAACTACCACGGATGCTCCAGAGTTGTTTTCGACAAAGACGACTTCCTGATCCTCTTGATTGTCGGCTCGAGTATGATTGGTGCGATAAACATACATGGCTTGTTTTTCTGGATCACTCCATTCCCATTCACTCTTGAAGTCATTCCACCGTTGTACGGCCGCGCCATGATCAAGTGCCGTGGGTGCTGCCAGCAGAATGGGTGCAATCTGTTGAATGGCGTGATGCAGTGCTTGAAAATGTTGATATTTGGGATAACGGGGTTGTCCCGACGTGCAGACGGGTGCATCGGTGGCATAGGCATTCATGATTCCAGCCGCACTGGCCCGTCCTCGATTGTATCCACCCCACCACATGTAGTAATTAATGTGTGTGCCCCCTCTGGCAAACCATTTGACGGCGTCCCTGGCCATATTTCGTGCGGTCCGACCCCAAAAGTAATCACTGACATTCTTGGGGTCGTCACCCCAGATTTGAAATCCTCCTTCGTCTGGTACCGTACATTTTGTATACAATAGAAAGTTAGACGCAATCGAGTAAATACACAAGCACACGCACACACATATGTAACTGTCAAAGGGGTCCATCGTTTATATATTTCCTCGACTCACCTTCGGTCCACATGGCTGGTTGATCTACTTGAATGTTCCCTCCTTGCTTTTGCCCATGCTGTTCGAGCCATTTGGGGCAATCTCCATTGCACGTGAGAATGGTATTGTTGGCAGCCAATCCGTAGCACATGGTCCATACCACATCGGGTGCCAATCGTTGGACGAGTGCACCACACCAATCGGCATAGTCTTGTACGGAATGGTTGATCGTTGTTTCCAGTAGTCGCTGTTGCGTTCCATCATTGTCCAGAATCATGGGTTGTTGATCACTCTGCCGTTCTTCTTCGGTTTTGTCTTCGCCCAATTCATTTTCAATTTGTGCCAGGACAATGTTGCCCCCCTGATGAGCAAATAGTTGGTGATCCGTCAAATACGCCACGGTAGCGGTCACGTACTCTTCCATGACGGTCATCCAGGGTTGATTGTATCGTCGCATTGCCATGTCGGGCGAGTGGAGGGGAACCCATTCGGGAATGCCCCCAAAATTGTATTCGGCACAAACATACGGACCAATTCGGGCATGGACAAACAATCCTCGACGAGCTGCCGCTCGAATGGCATCTGCCAATGTCCAAGGTTGGTTGTCTTGGGTTTTCATCAATGTCCAATCGATCTCCGACGTCGCAAGTGGTTGATGCTGTTGCCAAAAGACATAAATGGTAATCATATTGAGTCCTTGTTGGACGGCCAAATCGAGGGCATGATCCCACGTGGCGGGTGTGGCACGACCGGGATGCAAACTGCCAGCGAGAAACAAAGCCCGTTGGCCATTGAGCAAGAGCGAGCGGCCATCGTATGTGACGGAAATGGGACCTTGCGGTGCATAGTTCCAAAAGGACGGAATTCCTGGTGTGTGGCGTGCGACTTGGAGTTGTGTATGAGGAGGTGGGTGACAAAAGGGAATGGTTTCTGGGCATGCTTCGTCGGTTGTGGGTATTGTGGGTGATGATGGAATGTGTGGCGTGGGAAAAAACCAATTTTTGGTGGCGTAGCGCAAGGAAATCAAAATGGCAAATAGCAGTAGTGCAATTATGCTCATTCCTCGACACGCATCTTGTCGCTCGGCTTCGCTTTCCGTGTCACTGCGCAAGTCGTGATGGTCCGTATTACTAGCACTAGTAGTACCGGTAGTGCAGTAGTGTCGGGTCTGCTTGGGAGACACAATCAGGACGTGTCGTCCATCGGGTTGAGGATGACGACCATTCATACTTCCATAGGAGCTTCCACTGGTGACGTTGTTGCTCATCAGCATGCAACTTACTAATAGTATGTTATGTTATGTTATGATGTGTTATGATAACCAAGGACGATGATGATGCATACATACATGCAGTTGGGTTAATTGCCTTCACTACAGTTGGTTGTGAGCAAAAGAGCAAAGGGACGAAAATGCGTCGTGTCGTTCGTTGACGCGCTGCAAAGAAATGAAAGAGAGGAGAGAAAAAGATTTTGCTTCTCTCTCTGGATCTTTGGTGTCACCAAATTGCAGCTCTGTCAACTTCTACATATAAGTCAGCGGGAGCTGCGATACCTCCGCAGAAAGACAGATAGAAGAAGGAGGATCATGTTCGAGATTGCACCCATCTTTCAAGCCAGTGCACCAGCCCTGGCAACAACACCCGACTACGTCGACTACGTCGTGTGTTGCCGCCCAGTATCATTCATTCCCTCATTGCAACCTTCTTTATTAAGCTAGCCCTGGCGACAACGCCCGCTACTCTATAATTTACCAGCTGCCATTCCCTTATTGTAACTCTAACCTTTACAACTCCTGCTGGCTTATTGTGCTGTTGTGCTGATTGCACTAACCTTAAATATTAATGATTTATTCCTACCCCTAACTTGTATTGAACCATCAATATTCAGTTTTGTTGGCTTATGACTATCTCTATACTTATACTTTTGGCTTCACCGGAATAGGAAATAGGAAATAGCATTAAAGGGGTTGAGAACTCAGGCAGTTTACCTGCCGAGGTTAAAATACCGTAGCCTTGCATTCTTAAAAGTACTGGTAAGCTCTGAAGATGTCGAGGAGACCGTCATATCTTTGCTACTCACTGTACTGGTACCCATATGCTCTACTGGTACATTACGTACCATAATTTGTGGTGAATCGAATCATTGCTCGGAACTCAGTGAACAAACCCTTGGATAGTAATAGGCATCACACCCTCTCAGGAGGCCAGTGTGGCAGGTGAACAGACTTGACTGTGGGAATTACCCAGGCATCGGCTCGTGGGTCGTCCCCAAGCACTTGTTGTCTGGATCCGCTAATTGACTTTCAGTTTTATTTTTTGGTACATTACGTACTGGCCGAAGCTGGAGCAAAGAAACTCGATGGCTATTATTAGTAATCCCTCTATAAAAAACTATCAAGAGATGATAATCTGGCTAGTAGAGTATTATAGTACCAGCCATAGATTCGAGAAGAAATGTCCTTAATTACCCCTGCTCGGAAGCAGATTTTGTAGAAAAATCTCCCGGCAAACTGAAGATCCAGGTCAGTCGTGCAAACCTGAGGCGTAGCCGAAGGTGCACGGTTGACCGTGGATCGACAAGGCCGAGGACGAGGCAAGATCGAGGCAAGGTTGAGGCGAAAGGAAGGCCGAAGGCCTGGAAAAGCCGAGGACCGAAGACGAGATCGCAGCTGAGAACAAGGCCGACAGTGAGGCGGGAGATCTTTGTGTGTAATCTACCTGACAGTAGCCCGAGGAAATATGCATGGTAACAGGAGCGCCATTGTCGTTGTCTAGCGTGATGTTGTCAGTTGGTTGATGTGCATGGTTGCTGTTGTTGACGAGGCACAGTTTACCATTGAACGAGTCATGTTTCCTGAGTTTCAACGACTTTTTTCTGTGTCCTTTTATTACTTAAGGATCGAAAAACGGCTGAAAATCCAACAGTGGATTCTCCGTGATACTACTACTGGCATCTTACCCGCCAATTCCCACTCAAGAAAACGGCTGAAAATCCAACAGTGGATTTTACACAGTAACTACTAGAAGAGTAAAACTTCCAATCAACTCGCTTCTTATACAAACCTGGGAAATGTCACTCAAAATCCATGTGTAAGCTTAAATCTTCAGATTGGATTCTCATCAAAAATCCAATAATCTGTCCACTCACAAACAACTAGTGGATTTCGGTCGTTTCTTTTTTCAGTCTGTAGAAACTGTACCAGAGCTACGAGGGCTTGGCGGGTGGATTACGATACTGAGGTAGACTAGTCTACTGCGGCATCCTCGTTTGTGCCGTCATCTGCAAAGATCCTTACCATAGTCCCCTCCAACCCATACATGTAATGTTCATGTACCTGGTAGTAACTTGCCCCTATAGACCAAAGATGGAAACTATATCGAAGAGACAAGATTCACGCAACAGACGTTGTTGGAAGTTCATTGTCTCATTATGCACATGGCAGACTCCTGCACAGGCACAGTCAATGAACACGATGCTCACGAAGGAATTATGGCACGAGATGTTTCAATGCATATTAAGCTTCATGTTCTGAGATCTCACTTGGCACCGTTTGCAATTGCTAACCAAATGCTTTGCCGGTGCTCCCACCAACCAAGGCCGTCATGACAGACAGCTACATAACTTCGAGAGGTATTGCCGTCAAATTAACCGAAATTGTCATTAAATCCTCAACAAGAGTTGGCAAACGGTCGTTGTCAAGCTCGGCTGGCAAATGCTGCCGGAAAACTGGTTGGCCCCAAGTTTCAGTTGCGTCAATGCCGTCAGGAGCCCTATCACTGTAGGTATCGTGCCAGCGATGGAGGCGTCGTGCAACATCAAATCTCGCAGAAGAGTCATTTTAGCAAACTCGGAGAGAATGGTGCTCTCATTATGATGGAAATTGTTCAGGGACAGATTGATGGTTTCCATCTCTGCCAACAGTCCCAACTCTGTAGGCAGTGCCCCAGATAGCAGGTTGCCACCAAGATGCAACTGAGTCAAAGCGGAGAGGGTGGCAACCTCGGACGGCAGTGAGCCGCTCAAGGAATTGGCCGCCAAACTCAAATGCGTCATGTTGCGTGGCAGGCGTGAAAACAGAGACGGAGGGATAGTACCTTGAAGGTTGCTGTCGGACAACAGGAGCGTTTCGAGGCTTTTCATGTAGCGAAGGGTGGTTGGGACGACCTTGTCCAACGGTTCACTCCAGCTGGGGGAACTGCCAATGGCAAGGTATTCCAAGGACGATAGCATTGCCACTTCGGGTGGAATCGTCCCCGAATCGATATCGGTAATGTGGCCAAAGTCCAAACTGATCACAACTTGTGACTCATCGCATTGAATCTGGAAGATTTCTCGATTCTTGTAGGCGGTGGGCTCCAGTGTCCAATCACACTCTGAGGACATCGGATTCAACCACTCTTGCCGGTCCCCGATATCCCACGTGTCCCCATCGAAGGAATAGTAGACACATGCGAGAGCGTACAGTTGGTGCTTTCTCCATCCCTCCATTGTGTCTAACATTTCTAGCGAATAGCTACGGGAGATCCAATCTAGCGCTTTTCGTAGCGGGGCATTGGGGTTGCTGCTTTCGCGTTGCAAGGACTGTATGGCGTAGTTGTCTGGTAGATGGAGGGATTCCAGGAGATACACGTTGACCGTTCCGCCATTGACGACTGTAGAGAAGTATGCGGTGTCTGCGATGGACATGGGTTGGAGTTGCGTTTTCGAGAACAAGAGCATTTCACCCGTTGTGGCATTACGGCGTGATGTCACATTGCCCGCAAACCCGTTCAGCAATCGCTGTCCCTCGTAGAGACGAAGCCGTCCTTGCTTGCTCGTGCTGTTTGGTTGCGTGTTGTGAGATGTCGTGTTGGATGCCAGCGACGGAGTGGTTTCCGTTGTGTTTCCGTGATCAAAAATGTTCCCAACCAAGGTGTCGTTCGTCAATAATGGCGCTGGAGTAGTAACGTTGGACGCCTCTGGTGTTGATCCACCATCGTCGCCGCAGAGGCCCGAACCACACGTAATGCCCGTGATTGCGATTGCGGTAATCAAAAGGGCCAGGATTAAACAGAGCCATTTCCCTGCTGCCGAGACTGGAAGGACCTGGAGTGATCCGTTCTGTTTGTCCAATTCTTGTGCCGGCTCTGCCATTACCACGAGAATATCCGAGGGGTCATCCTCTTCCACCAAGGTGGCTTCCAGCAGTGGTGCTTCTGGTGGATCGTTCGAGACGCCAAACGTAGCTTCCTCTTCATCATCAACTCATTCGATAAAGAGACGAGCTGGAGAAAGCAGCAACATGAATGTCTGGTTCATTGTCGTTTCCGCGTCCCTTGGCATCCCTACCAGCTCGAGGGAACTTGTCTCTGGGAAAGGGGCGTCGCTCTCGCTTGGCGGGTGTGAAGTGTGCTTCCTCTGGTACATTCTTTCTTCGTAGTCCTCGCTTGCTCTTGTGATCACTCTGGGTCAAACCGGATCTGTTTCTAGGCAGTGTATGGATGGCTCCCACTGCACTGGTTTCCGCTGGTGCCTCCACGTCCCTTGTATCGTTGCCACCAGGAGGATGCGGCATGGCATTATGATTTTCAATTTCATCCCGCAAGCTGTTTATCCTCCTATGGCTTTGTTTGGAATCTGAATCCATGGCAGCTCCTACCTTCTTTCTTCGTAGTCCTCGCTTGCTCTTTTGATCGCTCGGGCTTAAACCATTTCTCGGCAGTGTGTGGATGGCTCCCACCTCACTGGTTGCTGCTGGTGCCTCCAAGTCCCTTGTATTCTTGTCACCAGGAGGATGTGGTACATCATGATTGCCTTCATCCCGGATGCTAGATACACTCCTATTGCTTTGTTTGGAAGTTGATTCCATGGCAGTTCCAACATACAAGAGATCTCTCTATTGCTTGTTACTGTACTTGAATCGAATCTTTGTAATTAGTCCGAGAGAAGCGGAGATGGATGATGCGAAGGAAGGCTTCTGGGTCCGGACCAAAGAAGAACAAGCAGCTGTCAAAAAGAAGATGTGATTGGATTATCCCAATCGAATCCTTCAACATCTTGGTCAATCCTTTAAACCGTGTTTATTTGGACACACTAGCGAGTCTCGATAGCCAGCCAGTAAGGGTCCAAAGTACTGTGTCCAACAGAACACACTATATCAATCCCTATCCTTAACAAGGACAAATGTCCCTTATGTCTTTGGCAAATCTTACACCGTGTTTATCTGAACACACTAGTGAGTCTGCATAGCCAGCCAGAACTGGTACCCATATGTTGAAACTAATGTGTCCAGCTGAACACAAATATAATACCTATCCTTAACGAGGAAATTGTCCCCTATGTGACCAAAACAGCTGCAAAAAACACATACACAAACACAAACACACACACACACACACACACACACAACACATACAGCGATAAAAATGTGAAAGACCCTCAGTCCGTTGAGGGCAAACCAAGATAATTTCCCTACTCTAAACCCCCCCTTTCTTCAGGGTTTCACGGAAGTGTCATGAAACCTACCGGTACTGTAGACTCTATAGTTGAGATAAATACCTCGGTTATAAGCGTCACAATGTTTGAGG